TTTTAATAAAAATATTTTAATTCTTCAGCGTCCTTCGTTATAATTTCAAGAATTATCATTCAAGATATAAAATTCCTACAACCAATAAATAAAAATCGATACATGCGACATATACGCGATCCGGTTTTAACGGCTTTAATTTTTTTTTAACGTTGTTATAACCAACCTTTCTCGTGTACGTGATATGCAAACTGACCTTGTCGACGATTTTATCGCTCTCAAGTCTCGCCAGTTGCTCGGCGCGATGGATAATCGATTCAGTGTGCAACTCTATGCCCACATCCTGGGTCAACTCATCCATATTTAGCGTCCTGCTCAAGCGCTCGAGGAATGCTACAAACTGTAACAATAAAATACTTTTCTTTTTAAACGAAAAAAAAAGTTAATCGCTCCAACGCCTTCCGTATACTGGCCGGTGATATATCGTTTATAATTAAAACAATTTTACATTGTGTTTATTTCTTTGGTTCCATTTTTAAATATTCAAATATCGAAGATATTGAATTATGTTTTAATTAATACTAGCTGTTGCCTCGACTTCGTACTCGCAATATTAAGATAAGAGTTTTAATCCAATTCATTAGAAACGTAAATACATCATCTTCTTGAAATCTGGATTTCTTCTTTTGACATTACATACATATCAATTTTATTATAATATATGTATAGATATAGATTATACAAAAAGTTTCGGGACTAGTTATGACTAGTCAGTTTAGATTTTTATTATTAAAAGAAACATTGGCTGATTATATTAAAATATTTTGTTTATAAAATGAACTAACATTAGCTTTGTCCTTACGAAGTCCATCCTTGGAGAGTTCCATTGCGTTTAATTCTGACTCCAACTTATGGACCTTCGCTTCCAGCATATTCCTTTCGTCTTCTAGGATTCGAACCCGTGTGTTGGCTTGTTCATGCATGTGGCTGCTTCTGCTTAACTGCTGGGATTCCATTCCAAGCTTGTCACGCAGTGCCTCTATTTGCTACAAACCATAATGCCATTTGATAAGAAATTTAACTAAAATGCAATTTTGTACTAAATTACGTTGTGTAGACTTGTTTTGCACGTGATAGAGTAATGATGAAGTAAAAAGGAAGAGTTTAGTGGAAAAATATTGACTTCAAAGAATAACGTAGACGATTTTTTTACTATTCCGTAACTGGCTTCATACTAGTTCTGAATGACTGGAATAAATTAATCCTAGTAATATGATTAACACGTTACCTAGGCTTAGTGTTTTATAATGAGTGAATAATTGAGATTCTTGTATAAAAGCTTATAGATAATGGAATTAATTGGAAGCTTGACTCATTTGTAGACCAGTTTTACTGTCGGTTTAATTCAGTAAGAGAACGAAGAAGGAAAAAAAAATTGTGGCAGAAAGGTTCATCTTTTAATAGAGAACACTGTGGACTTCAGGTGAACGGTTAAAAACTGCTGTTGAAGTTATCTGTTTTAACGATCTTGAATAGAAACATAGTTAAGAAATTAAATATTTGGTTAAAAGTACGAGTACTTACCAAAGACTTATCTTTATTGTCACCCAATATTTCACGAATCCTATCTTTGATTGTAGTTTCATGTGCCTCCACGAAACGCGTCGGCAAGCTCAATAGAATGGCAATTGACTCCATTGTATTACGAAACTCGCTATGCAATTTTTGATATTTTTCATCGCGGTGTCTTAGGTCCTCTGAAAATGTAGAAAGATTTTAAATAATGTCAAATAAAGACTGCATAATGGAAGATAAGAGGAATAATAGTACCTTTTAGCTGTACGATCAAAGACTCATTTTGATTAACATTGTCAGTAACAACGTTTAAATTTTTTGTACAATGCGATATTTTCTCTCTCGCTTCATGTAGCTCTCTTTCTATCACTCTGTTTTGCACCGCAAGCGACTCTTTCTCTTGTTTAAGTCTTTCGATATCGAGTAATTGAGATGAAAGTTGTCTTTGCAGGATATCCTTATCTGAATTGGCTCTTTCCAAACTGTCTCTGCAACTTCTCAAATCTTGTTCTATTGTAGACATGTTTTCGGTCGTGTTCATACATTTGTTTTTAAGTCTTGTTATCTCTTGGACAAGTTCAGCTGCTTTTATAATCAAGCTTTCTGATGAATGAGTGTGGGCAGTGTCACAAAAGTCTGAATCCAAGGCTACAGATAAACGGCGCACCAAGTCATGGAATTGACATCGGGCGTTTTCTTTTTGTTGTTCTTCATTGTGACACTCTAGTTCTAGTGATCGTATCTTTTTCTCCAAATCTTTTATTTTCTCTTCGCAGTAACGATTATCTCTTTGTAATGTCTGTACTGTGAGGTCGCTTCTGCCCTGTGACGCTTGTAAGTTACGCTGTGACTCTTCTAAATCCTGAATTTTCTTCTTTAAAGATGATATGATGGCATTTTGGCGAGCATTTTGCTCGCGTAGATGATCGATTTCAACTTGCTGCTCTAAAATCCTTTGGTCTCTTGACAACATTTGGTTTTTTAAATCGCTATTCTACAAAAGAAGATGCAAAGCTTTTTTTATTTTGACAATAGGTTTCTCCTTAAAGTAGAAACTGATCGCAGTAGTTTAAAACTCATCGTACAAAATGATTAAAAAACTTACTTCGGATAATAATTTGTCTCGTTTGTACTGCAGTCCTGCTAGGTCACTTCTGAGAGCGGTTACCACGTCATTACCGACATCTGCATCCATCTGTGAAACATAACTTTGTTAATATTAACGTACAAAAATTAAAAACAGTTTTTATCTTTTAAACCTACGCAATGCAGTGAATACAAGATGTAACCCGAAAACTGAATATAATTTTCAATCGCAAGGAAGACGGTATTGCATGGCGTGCGGGGTTAGACTACGGTAATTGTACTTGGTACGTATTTCGACAAGGCGTTGCGTGCTTAGGGCTGTAAGCCGTGCTTATTGAAGAGTCACGATATTTTCATACGATTGTATAAGTTTACCTTCCGCCCTTCCCGCGGTATCAGAGTAATTTGCATTATAGGCGGAAGGATTTCCCTCGACTCATAGTTTATAGCTACTTTACCGATTAGTTTATTTCAGTATTTATGCACGAACGCAAATATACTTTTGCCAATGAGGCAGAAAGAAATAAATGTACCCTACTTTCTCATATATTTTACTTTTTTAAATACGGAAATGGTCAAATTATTATAATCGATTTTTGCAACCTGTTTTAATTATGCCTTTAAAAAGTTATCATTAAAAGCTTCCTATTGCTCATATTATTCGTAACGCAATATAAAAAAAAAAAACTATAAATTAGCGACGCCAGCCGAGGATCTAGACTAGTTTAACAGGGAGGGGGTGGGGGGCAGCTGTATGCACAAAACCATTTCCGTTGAAATGATAACGGTCCCTAACTGTAATAAGACCCGTAGAATAAGATAAGATAGGGAAGGTAAAAGCTCGATACCATTTTTTTATATGCGGTACTTAAATTATTTTAACTTGATTCGACTACGAACATATCACTAGCCAAAATAAATAATAATAAAAACGTAGCTTTTTAATGGTGAAATAATTTTTGGAATCGGACAAGTAGTATTTGACTTATCAATACATACAAAAATACATTTTTTTTTGTTTATAACAGCATAGAAAAACAATACTTGGTTAATAATGTATGAACGAAGACATCATTTTTATTAGATTTTATAAATCAATTATTTTGAAGTAATGCGTGATATACTAAGAAATTGTTACGAATTTTTTTTGTATAATAATAAATTTTTGACTGTACACTAATCATATACCTAGATTTATATTAGTATAAAACTCACCTCGTCTCGATTATCACACGCTTCATAAACCTTCCAATCTTCTATTTCGTCTTTATCCTTCTCCTCGGCCATAGTTTAATAGAAAACAATACAAACGCAACAACGAACTGCAACAGTAAGCGTTGCTATGAACAGCGGCGATGTAAACATGGAAATCGATTCTGGCTTTCGTACTTAGGTTTCAGGAAGCTTTGCGTGTTTATGACGTTATCATGTTTAGGTGGAATTATAAAAAAAGTAACTATATCACGGTAAAATGTTTACCTTTACCATAAGTATATAATTAGGCTAAGCTTAACAATGTAATTTTTAAACAATCTTACCTTTTCTTTTTAAGATTTTAATATTCTCTTGATGTACAAGTACTTTAAAAGATTTTTTTTATTTGACATTGTTTTATTTCGTTAAGTGTTATGTGCTACAAACTAATTTTTATAGACAGTGAAGCATTTAACCCTTAAACGCATGATGAAGCATTTATAGATCAGTCTTTTCTTCTTTACGCAATAGACTATTTTGAAGAATCATTTTTTTTTCTTTATTTTCCCCTTAATCTATGCACAATTTAATACCCGTTTCAATTTATTGTATTTAAATGGAAAACGTGCATTTAAGGGTTAATAATTAAAAGTCCAGGACAAAAAGGGCGTCAAAATAAAACAACATTCACTTAGAAAAGTGATAAATCTTATATTGAAAGACATTCATAATATAGTTGACCAGAAAATAAACAGTATGAATGCGTTAGATCCGACTTTCACCATTCTTACGATACTTTTAGCATCAATTGGAATGTATCCAGCACCTTTTTATTCAAAACCACAGAGTAACACGAAAATTTGCGAGAAAGTATTCTTAAGGACATTGACAAAATTTGCCTTAGGTGTTTCAAATGTAAATCTTGTCGAAGTTATACTTTCTCATAAATTTTCGTGCTATGTCCTCAACAAAGCCCAACAAACCACATCATTCATTACTGCATATTTATATTTCTGGTCGACATAACAAATATATTTAAGTCGCAACTAATACGTAAGCGAGTGTTATCACTCAAAGTATATCAAATACAATGTAAATTATTTTTAACGTCACTCCTTATAACTAAAAATAGCTATAAAGATGAAATTTGGTTGTTTTTAGAATCCAAAATAAATGTGCTTATTTTTTACGCCTTAAAAATTTATAAAAACAAATTGTTCACTATTAACTTTGGCATTTATTAGTTTCTAGTATGAAAAAAAAAACTACTTCTGTATGACTTCAAATTAAAAGAAATTAGTTTTCAATATGGCAACTTTTCATAACTAAAAGGTAACAGTTCTGTTATAAAGAGTTTACATTGTACATATTTTAACTTACAGCTAAAAATAACAACAAAATCAGTTTTCTGCCGAATATGGCAATTATTTGAGGTCCGAGACACAAATTAGTCATAGAGGTGGCTACAGAACCTCAGTTCTAACTGAACAGTTCAATTGTCGACAGTGTGAATTTTTAGATAGAATTTTAACTATATTTTAATGAATAGTTATCATTTTACGGACAAGCATTCGAACTGTTAAGTTAACTGACAGAACTGAGCATATGCTTAACATAGTCTATAACTAAGTAAGAGGTAAGTTGATCACCAAGTTACAAATGCTACAAAAACTACAGTAGTAAAGGCAATAGAAAAATATGTTTAATAAATGCATTTTAGGACATATAGAGAATAGTCAAAACTCTCGCTGCTTTATTGAAGTTATTGTAGTAAATATAATCTAAAAAATTCAATAATGGACGAAAACAACTGTCTTTTTAATACTTAACAGAGCAATTTATAATTAACAAGAAACAGCCGAAGATTTCGACAAAACAATCAACGAAATCCAATGCACCTTAAATACTAATCTCAATTTTAACACTAAACAAAAACTTAAAACAAAAATGGAGACTCATTTACTTCTAGAGTAACATAACTGAACTGTAACATTTTGATCTAAATATTACAAGTATTATATCTCAATATGCTGTCATATAATTTTGAAATAAGTCAATAACTATTGTGCATAAAATGAACTTGTCATTTATTAAAAAAAATTACAGCTGCCAAGAAAATAAATGTACATATTATGAACAGAGGGGTGGTAGGGGTCTAAAAATTGCTAACGACAAGATTAAAGCCCTTTAGTGTAAATTTGATATGAGAATTAATTCAAGGGATTCCTTTAGTAAACTGTAAACAGCATCTTCAATGGTCATAATACTATAAATTTAGATGAAGTGTTCAGTTCAGTACAACAAAAATAAAATTATAACAACCATGTTGTCTGTTCTTAAACTATAGATAATAATCCCGGTGGGTAATCAATAGAGGTCAAATATTATCAGCTCTGAATATTATGTGGCGTAAATGACCTTGAACCTCAGTCGTCCCAATGGAAATCTAAACAACTTCAAAATCACAGTTTCTAAGATTCGATTTACTGTTTTTTTTATCACGAGGGGAAAATAATTTAACTGTCGACATTTTTATATATTCTAGATCCGTTCCTTATAGCTATTGTTTTTAATCAATTATAAGCTACCACCGGGAACACAAAAATGTCTATATTTTTGCAACAATTTGAGACATTCAAGATATCACTCGACCAAAAATTTTTTTTTTTTTTAGAAAATTAGCAGTTGTTTAGTTTTCCATTGGACGATGTATTAAAGGAACCTTAGTGCGTGCCAGTAGAGTTTAGAGGAAGTAGAGTGTCTCCGTGAGCGAGTAGTGCGGCTGGTTGTGCAGGCTGTTGCCGGCGAGGAAGGCCAGCTTGTGCGCGTACTGGCACACGGAGGGCACGCGCACCTGGTTCGAGCAGTTGAAGTACATGTACGTCAACTTGTACGTCAGACGTTGTATCTGAAAAAGATAAATGTAATATTATTAAAAATATGGTAACCGACGGAAAATGGTTCTAAATCATCGAATATCAACTAGATTCGTTAAGCCGTTTTGTAGATAACTAACTGTTGCTCGCGACTTCGCTCGCGTGATATTAAAACAATAAATGTAGCTTAATCTTTACGTAGCTTTTTAATGGTGACTGAATTTTTAAAATCGGCTCAGTAGCTTTTGAGTAATTTCAATGCATATAAAAATTCAAATCTTTCCTCTTTATAATATTAGTAAGATAAGAAAGTATATCATTCAAACATGTTAGCAGCTCGGTACATTACATAAGTAGCTAAGATATTTATTAAAAAAAAAAAAACAGAAATATAATAGTTTATTATTTTAACTGATTCTAAACAAAATTTTAAATCAATATACTTACGCGGTCTGGATCAAGACCAGTCGTGTCCTCAATGACGTTGTATGAAGTCGGTGAAATTGTACCTTCTCGAACATTCTGGGATACCAGGTAGAAGTCGTATCTGGAATGTTGATAATAACACATAGTAAGCAAGACAAAACAAACACGTTTCATACAAAAAATATATCATTACTGAATGCCATTGAATACTTTGTATTTTAATGTTAATTAAGGTGAAATAACTTCAAGTTTTATGATAATACAAGATGTTTCCCTGCAGCTCCATTCGAATTAAATTATAAAATCTTTTTATTGCTTACATTTCTAAAATGTTCTATTGAAAATGTCAAAATTTAAATGTTCTAATGACAACGAAAGCGCTTGACATTGAATAAAAATTACTTACGTTTTTTTATGCATTAACTTGTAATTTTTGTCCCTTTCCCATGTCGTTTTTTTAGAATTAATTACTCCCTAACTTTAATAGCGTGAAAATATGTAACCAAAAGCATGTCGTAAGGTTAGGGTATTATTTCTTAAAAAAATAATTATTTAAGAATATACTGATATTGGTGGTACATAACTGTGTGTTTACAAGCGTTTATAGATGTTCTTTACGAATATAATAAAGCATAAACACACACTATTTCGTGGCGTAGGATATCAGCAATCACTGCATATTTTTGAATAATTCCTTCTTTAATAAAAATCCCTACACTTACGATACGCTTTAGACTACATATTTTCAAAGCTATTAAACATAGGGGGGTAAATAAATTGGAAAACCTTCATGTGGAAAAGACCATAAACTACAAGCTGCAAACGTTAAGGAAGCAAAGTTATTATGGTAACGGTAATTTTGACATTTGCAGTTGAGAATTTGAAAAATGTAAACAACAAAATAAGTTTTTATAAATTTATGCGGATGAAGCCGCACGGGAAGCTAGTATTTAAATAAGCAGTATACCTTTCAGGCAGTGTAACAACGTCGTCAATAACGGTGCCGGGTCGCGGGTTCTCTCCGCGGCCATTGTTGAGGAAGATGCGCGTGTTGATGCGTTTTGATACAATAATGAAGGCCATCTTCACCTCAGCACCGCCGTATATCTCGTTGAGTTTCTTCTTAATTTCGCACACCTAACAAAAATTGGAATATTACAGAGATATTTATAGAAATCAAAAGAAAATGAAATTGTAAAATCTTATGTAACTAATATTATAAACGCGAAATTTTAGATGGATGGATATTTGTTAGTTTCTAGCCTAAACGGCTGAACGGATCTAGATTAAATTTGGCATAGTTTTTTTAATTCCCCGGACGGAGTCGCGATCGAAATCTAGGTACGTCATATGTAGTATGACCTAGCCTAAGTAGTAAGGTAACCAAAGTATGTATGGATTGTGTGAACGAGATTCTTAAGAGTGACTTCAATATGGCGGCTGAGGCAATGGAGGAGCACACTATGCCCACCTACTATAGGGACAAGAGGGTGTAATATACAAGGTTTTAAAAAATACTAAGTTACAGTTTTATGTATTTCATTTGTAACAAATTGGTCAATTTAATAATGGTATTCAATCACATACCTCATGTGTATGAACATAGGGAATCTGTCCATCGCCGACGCCGTCGCGGTAGATGAAAATGCGCGAAGGCAGGGTACCTAAAATATGGTATATTTTATAACAGTAATAATAAAAACAAGGGATAATGATGGAATGATGATAACATTCAAGCTTGCAAAAATATTATTAGCTGGTTGGCTAGCAGATTATTTAAAACCAGCCGTTCCCGTGGGGCTTTAGCCGCATTAAATTATGAAAACTTTATTTTATTGTTTACATTTGTCAAATTCTCAAGTGCAAATGACAAAATTACAAATGCTATAATAACCTTACTTTCTTAATGTTGACAACTTGTAGTTTATAATCCCTTTTCCACATGAAGGTGTTTTCCAATTTATTTACCCCCTAAGTTTGATAGCGTGAAAAAATAGCCTAAAGCGTGTGTAGGGCTTGTTATTAAAAAAAGAATTATTCAAGTATACTGTGATTACTGACTTTCTATGCCACGAAGTAGTGTGTGTTTACGCTTTATTATATTTGATGATGATGATTTGTCAAATAACAAGAGAATTTTTTTTTTAATTTCATGGGGATAAAGTCGTATGGGAACAGGTATTCCATTATAAACCTAGTGTTTGTTTCTCACCATTCCTTTCTCTAAACTTCCTTAGGGCGGAGGCGATGTTGAAACTCATATGGGAGCTAAGCTCCTCGCCCGAGGTGTGCGCGTTGACCGCGGAGTAGTACTGCGTCATCTGGCGGTCCAGTGTCGCCACGAAGGCGCCGAAGCTGCGCTGCTTCATCATCGTGTCGTGGCACACATCGTACCCGACCACCATCAGCGCGTTCAACGGCACCTCCACCGTCCACGGCGCGCCGCCCAGCTGCAATCATTTATTTATTTATAAGAGAAGGGTCAAAGGAGCAGCGGTAACAGCGATGTTTCCAATCATTTATTATAGCGGATAATTCACAATCGGCACCCCGCTGTCCCGACGTGAGATTAACAAGTTTCATCTGTCTCACCTTTTAGTCCCACTATCACCAATAAGGCGACAGATAGATACATACTACTATGCTTTAGATAAAATTGTTACGCATCGCGGATAAAAATGATGTTTTTGCCAGGCTATACTTTTCTATACTAATATTATAAAGAGAAAAGACTTGTATTTTTGTATGTATTCGATTGACATATAATTCACGATTAACAAAAAAAGCGGGGCTATCCATCCATATTTGTAAATTAAGTTTTGTTTAAAATTTGAGTTATATTACCTTGCAATTGATCTGAATAGCGACTTTGGTAGCAATAGACATAGCGGACTTGGAGGTCATGTTGCGCGCGCACACGACCTGCGTGGGTACCGCGCGGTCCACTGTGCACTTCTTCTTAATAGCACCGTATCTGAAAATACACATTTATATGTATTTATAAATGAAAATGAAAAAAATGAAAAACTATTAGACAAAAAACATTTTTACAATATCAAATGGGGCTCTGTCTCCTGAACTAATTATAACAACTGTGTTTCAGGAGACAGGAACCTTCTCTAATCAATTATCATATTTAATTAAGAGTAAGTTGCTACATAACAAAGGAAAATATAATATTATAATATATAATACAGTTAATTTAGTGTGTGATATTGCATGTGTGTATGTTTGTGTATGAATCCGAGTACGTGCGTGAGTAAGTGCGTGTGTGCGTGTGTGAAGTATATGTGTGAGTGTGTGTATTTAGTTTTGAGTGTTTTTTCAATATTACTAATTATTACTGTAGTCCAACATTATTTTGCAAACTTATGTAAATGTTATGTTAAGGGTAATAGTTTGTTCTTGGTTTGGATAATTGTAACCAAATATCTATGTTTTTCTAAATCTGAAAGATTTAGAAAAACAGAGATATTTGAGAAACAGAGAAATAAAACTATGGAAGAATCTGGAAGTGTGCTATCCACTTGGGACAAACAGGTAAATAATAAATAGAAAAACATTCAATAGAACGTAATAAATATAATCTATACAAAAAAGTGCAAATCTTTCTTCTTTTTAATAATATTAAACATTTTTATGTATTGAAATAACTTAAAATCTACTGGGCCGATTTCAAAAAATCTTATCCATTAAAAAGTTGTGTTTATTGTTATATTTTATGTGATTAAAATCAGGGATTAACATACGGTATATTATTCATCTAAACAACTTATTATTATGTAATATAATGTAAATGCTTGGAAATTGCAGCTTTTGATTGGTTATAATAAAATACAGTTAATTATATCTCTATTAGTTCAATCCCCACCAGCGCTAAAATGGAATAGGCAAAAACCACTTCCTATAACCTGTCCGTTTAAACAGGTCAGTGATTAATAAGGAGAAGGATGATGATGATGATGATGATGATGATGATACAAATAATCATAATTAACAAACCTCTCTACGGAGTTTTTGGCCAAAACGCAAAGTATCATAGCGGGATTTTTCCTAGCGATGACTTCCTCGCACATCACCGCGTAATCAGATTGTCCATCGCGTTGTATTGTCACTGAGAAATAAAACATTTCAGTTATATTGCTGATCAATATAATATAAGATTAGTGTGGTACACCAATAAAGGTAGAAGTAGAAAGAGATGGTTAGATTGCGTGAAGGGTGACATGCTGTAGGGAAATGACTGAGATGAGGGATGACATAGTTATTTAGTAAACGAAAACCCAGTGCTAGGATAAGGAAGGGGAGATAATGAAAAGGAGGGAAAGGGAAAGTGATTTGACAGTGGAGACGCATAGGAAGTGGATATATCCCCTTTATGTACGTCAAAGGCCATTTTTTATACTACAAGGTGGCAAACGAGCAAGCGGCCACCTGACTCCGCCAAAATGGCGAAGCCACAGCTGCCCATAGACATCCGCAATTGCAGATGCGTTGCCTACCCTTAATCGACGAAAGAGGTGACGCACATAAAAAGGATATTGCCCCTTCCTATGCGTCTCCTCCACCGTCAAATCCACTTTTCCTTCCTATCCTTTCTTCTTAGGTTAAGGGCGTGAAGGGAAAGAAACTAAAATTAGACCTCTGGCACACCACTCATGAGACGAAACGCCGAATTGCTTCCACTTTACGCCTGCCTTCTGTGTATTGCATTAAAGCGGG